AGGAAGATGGATATGTGAGGAATGCATGTCCTTAGGCTACTTACCGGCCTTCCCTTCCAATCTAGTTACTAACACACTCCTGCCGCCAACTACACCCTCTCTTCTAGCCTGAGGATGAGTCTGCTGCACATTTCTCAGACCCCTGAGGAATGATTTTGAGAGTCTTTTAAGTTTACAGAATGTCTGCACATGGGCTCAGAAGCTTTACTTAGCCCTAGTTAAGCACATATCTGTTTGGACAAATGTGCCCCACCCACACAATTTTCACATATCCTATGCCCACTCACCCACAAACGACTCCTTTCTAGGTAAGAACCCAGGCATTTGTTACCAACTCTATCGATCCCAGTTGCCTGCAGAGGACTCCTTGTCTCCTCTTCCTGATTAGAAAGCTTCAGCCATGAGACTATCTTCACAGGGCTGCTCCTGGGATCAGAAACTTCAGTCAGCCCTAGCTGAGCCAGTGTCACTTGTGACACCCCGTTGGAATATCAACACTGAGGTGCCTCAACCCTAAACCCAAATACCATCCAATTGGTCCATGATGTAACACACTGGGCTAACAACAAAAAGGTATCCAAACATGCACTGAACAGAGCGGAGAACAGAGATCCATAACATGAACCACTAGCAATTATATAACTCCAGATGCAGAGGTCCCATCAAAAAATACAAACAAATTGAACAGGCAGAACAAAATATCTTCTCCAAAAATTAATATGTCTAAGGATAATTCCCCAAAACAACTTAGACAGCATACAAGATAAATAGTTTGAAAATAGAAATAAATATTTTTCAAGGACAACAACGATAGGAATAAACATCAGAATGAAGACAGCAAAACATAAACAGTTTAATGAAATGATGAAAACACTTCAAAACAAAAATAGAATTTAATAAAGACATAAGATCTCAAGGAAACCCAAAGAAAATTAGGAGTTTAAATGAAAAATTCAGAAAGCTAAATAAAAAGTACAAAGGAAAGCACACCAAGGCATTGGACAAAATAGAAGAAAGAATAACATGTCTTTACAAAAAGTAGACAAATTGATCCACTAAGAAAAATATTAACTCTTAAAAAAAACACCATTTACAGAATGTGAAAGAACTCTGGGACACTAACTACAAAAGAACAAAATTATAAATAACACCTATAGAAGAAGGAGAAGATATCCAGGTAAAAGGCCCAGAAAATACATTAAATAAACCATAGAAGAAAATATCTCCAATATGGGAAAATAGATGCCTATCAAGGATCAAGAGGAGTACACAACACTAAGTAATGAGATGAGAAAAGGAACTCCCTACATCATATAATATTCAAAACACTAAATATACAGCACAAAGACAGGATGCTGAAAACTGCAAGAAAGGATGACCAAGTCACATATGAAGGCAATCCCATCAGCACAACAACTGAGACTTCAATGGGGACTTCGAAAACCAGAAGTGTGTGGACTGATGTTGTACAAGTTACAAAAGACCACAGACACCAGGTTAGATTACTATACAAAACAAATCTCCTAGTCATAATCAAATGAGAAACAACATTTTCTCATGATAAAAATAGATTTAAAAAATTCATGACTACTAAGGCTGCTCTACAGAGGATACTGGAGAGAACACTTAAGTCTGAAGAGGTGAAACACATCCAAGAGAATATGGAAGAAATAAATATTTCCAGAATATTTAATGAAGAGTTCTAAGAAAACACTACAAAACAACAAAATGACAGGAATTGAAAGTCATTATTCAATAACTTTTAACACCAATGTCTTAAATTCCAACATAAATAGACACAGACTAAAAGGCTGAATTATAAAACGTCTATCTTTAAACACACCTCATATATATGAGTGTTTTTCCTGCATGTTTGTAAGTGCACCTGTGTCATGAAATGCCCATGGAGGACAGAAGATGTCCTTTATATATCTATATCTAATCTCTCTCTCTCTCTCTCTCTCTCTCTCTCTCTCTCTCTCTCTCTTTCTCTCTGTATGCATGTATGTGTGTTTGTGTGTGTGTGTGCATATGAGCTGAGGTGGTGTGCAGGCTAGAAGTTTACCTCAGGTGTCATTCCTCAGGTGTTTTCTACCTTATGTTTTGAGACAGGGTATCTCACTGGCTAGGCTGGCTGGTCAGTGAGCCACAAGGATCTTAAGATCTTCTCTCTGCCTCCCCAGCATTGAAATTACAGGGGTGTAGTTTTTAACATCAGTTCTGGGTGATCAAACTCAGGTTCTCATGTGTCTATACCAACCACTTTACTGACTGAGCTATTTTCAAAGCCCTTCCTCTGTCTTTTTAAATTGTTGCTATAAAATTAACTCTAATTATATAATAT